TACACATACAGACGCACAGACTGCCCCTAACCTAGTCTCTATCCTGAGTGATATATCCATGCGCATGCGTATTCCTACAGTAAATGAAGGATCAATGTCATGGGCCTAGTTTTTCCTTTTCCAGGTAGTGAACTCTGTATCAGAGCTGAAATACTTGGAAATAGCTGATTAATTCAGATAAAGGTAAACCAACCGACAGAAGACTTCCCCCAGATTTCGTGAGTAAAGAACGCCCTAGTTGGGAAAGCAGCTAACGAAAGACGAAGCACAATTCAGATGTACAGAAGACGAAATTAAAATGAAAAATCGTACATAATTTGCAAAGTAAATAGGATAAAGCGCTTTAACTCTCTTTGTGTGTATAGTATGCTGCTATCCGCCGTACACATCTTCCTTAGATACGAAATAGCGAGTATGGCCGTAAACGAAACGTTTATATGCATCGCCTTTCCCGCACTGAAGCTGGCAAAGATAAAACGAAATACTGCCGTTCTTCCGCAAGGATAAAAGTTTTCATTTCGAATTTTTAAAGCCTAATTTCCCCCCTGTGGCACGAGAGATGCACGTCTATTGTGTTCATCTGTGAGACAAAGTGAATACAAACAGAACTGCGTCCAGTTGGGCTCTGGGCCGGACTTGCTTCATGAAGCACATGGCAGGCAAACTGCCGAGTATATCACCGGTGTGCGTGTCACATGCTGAGAAGTACGTTCCGAGAATCCGGGCCCACCAAGAAATATGGACTTACGAGAAAACCTTTATCAAGCAGAAACGATTTTATAACGGCGAAGTTACATGGGTTTAAAATGGTTTGAAAAAAGGGTGCGCAACAAATTTCTTGAAAATAAGCCAGAGGGCGAAGAGAGTTAATTGTTTCACGCAATATATATTTCCGTCACTAACGCACCTCTTCTTATTGCTGGTGGGATGGGACTAAGTGCCCTGTACTGCGGCCACTTCTGGTCTATCATACGATTAAAACTGGCCGGTTTTCGAGGACCCAGCTGTGGGAACATCCCACATATGCGGTTTCGCCGTTCTAACAGACAGTACTCACTCCTAGGTCAATATCATATTGCCGCACGTTGCTGCCGACGCTCATATTTGTACAGCACTCTGTGTCCAACCCTCCTTTGCATAACCTCTCTCCATATTTATGGCCCCTGGAGATTGGGTGTCCTGGTACTTGGCCCCCGGAATTTAGGCCTCCTGTTGGTCCGCAGGTCTTTATTTGGTATATTCAGAGAGGCCCATCTGTCCAGATGGGGTCCCTCCTGCGCCACCGCAGGGCCGCGCTCTCTGGGGGTTAGAGATTCCCCCGAGAGATCAATAGGTTTTATCTTTGTAAGTTTTGAGGTTTTCACGGCGATGACAATGAAGAAAGTCGTCTTCTGGGTTTAGGCACCGTGTATTCTTCGTTTTGGCCGACGTTTCGGAGGAACGTAGCGCCTCCATCTTCAGAGCAGTTGAATGGCTTGGAATGCGGAGAGCAGTAGCTGTGGTGATAGGATGTGAAAGGTGCTGCTTATATACGAAGTAGGCAGGGGGGGTGGTTAGGGAGAACGGACCAATGGGAGCAGTGGGGAGCGATTANTGTGTGCTAAGTTAGGGGGGGGGAAACGGCCAGTGAATCCAGGAAACAAGCCATTCAACTGCTCTGAAGATGGAGGCGCTACGTTCCTCCGAAACGTCGGCCAAAACGAAGAATACACGGTGCCTAAACCCAGAAGACGACTTTCTTCATTGTCATCGCCGTGAAAACCTCAAAACTTACAAAGATAAAACCTATTGATCTCTCGGGGGAATCTCTAACCCCCAGAGAGCGCGGCCCTGCGGTGGCGCAGGAGGGACCCCATCTGGACAGATGGGCCTCTCTGAATATACCAAATAAAGACCTGCGGACCAACAGGAGGCNCAGGTCCACTTTGCCCACCACAAATCTCACTTGACCAGAACCGGCCTCCAACCCGGGCCGCCATGGTGGGAAGCCAGCGAATAACCGCTTGAGCTATGGCGCGGCATAAATGTTATAGTCACCTTAATTCTTCATTCACAACATGTTTCGTCTATGCATGGCCATCATCAGGTGTCTGTCGCTATGCTAAACTGTTGTACTGCGCTGCATGTCACGGTTGCATGTGGCTAGTTATTGGTGCTCCTTAATTAAAATTAAAATTAAAAATTTATTTTACAATAGGTCAGCCTCATTCAATTTAATAAAGCAAGTTAATTCCAATCTTCTTACGGGACCCATTAGCGCAATTTTCGGCGGCGTGATATGTTCGTGTTTCGTGTAGTTCATGGGTATTATTTGTGAATGTTAATTTGGCTGTAGCTTGTGTAGTTGTGTTGTAGTTGCATGCAGTAGAGAAGTGGGAAGACCTAGAACGTGATGATGACTGGAAGATTTAGAGAATGATTTGCGAGAGATGCAAGCGAAGAAATGAAGGCAGGAGGTAAATAATGGAGAAGAACAAACATGTAGGAGGTAAAGGTAGGCAGGGAACGCTAGAGGGAACGCACGCACAAAGATGACTTACTGAATCAGGTTTGCTTCACTCTTAGAAAATATGCAGCTCGAATTCCGCCAAAATGGAGCAGAATTGCGCTGATTATATGTAGCGTTCTGTAGGTCAGTCGGCTTTGTGACGAGGCTAAGGGAACTGCGTTCCTGTTCTTCTATAGGCCACAGCGTCCAGACGAGCTCTGAGTCCTGCCTAGCTTAACATAACCAGTAAGCACCATAGGCTGTTTCTCCGGAGGTAAAGCTGCCTTCTGCACGGGGTACACTGGGTGATCCCATCCACCCAGTGGGTTAGGGGGTGGAGCGCGAATTACTGAGGTTCTATCTGCCTAATTTATTGCACACAGAAGTTATACTGAAGTAAGAAGTTGTACGCACTAATACATAATACTACCTGTTCAGGACTACCACGCAGTGTGGTCTCCTTGTTTAATCATGAAACTGATATCGAAACTTCCAGTAACATCAAGTGGCATCATAATCTTACTGAGCAGGTTAGTGTAGCGGTAACTCCCTACAACTGGTTTCGAATCTCCGTCAGATCACCGGCCATTCTCACTAAGATATTTCCTGTTTTCCCCATATTCCCTCCAGTCCAAGAATGTCACCATTTCATCACGACCTTGTACTGACAAAACCTTAGTAGTTGATCAGTCGTCGTACCATTGAACATTGTGAGCTACATACTGATAGCGTCGTAAAATACCACCCCACCCTCCAAAAAATCACGTGACTTGACAGTTTGTCCACCCGTGGAATTCTATTTGAATGCATCCCCTGGTGATCTGTTCGGAGTCGTAAAAAGGCAGGAACAAGTTTTATATTAAACTGAAAGTGCTCCATAAAAGAAAGCACTCGAATTGTAGATACGACGGTTCGCCCCATAATTGCCTCTCTCTCTCTCAATATTATTTCTTTCAAGGCCCTTCCATCTTCCACTAATACCAGAACAAACAGTGAGCAGACTTGTAGCGCAGTCTCCTGCCAGTCTGAACTAGTGTTTGGCTTTTAGCCTATAGAAGACGGCGCAACTGCTGCTACATTGCTCTGATGCAGTATCTCTGGACAAACAAATACAGCTCAGTCGGTATAGTGACTCTCCTACTGTTCGATCCCTCTCGTGGCTAAGAGATCCTCCTGTTCGCAGCGTCCACACCGGCTGGGGTTCCTTCTCTGTCTCTTATGCATTGTGTATTTGGAGATATTTCAGAGGAGTTATGCGACAGGATCGTGAAGGTAACCATTCTCCGTCATCTAATACAGTTGCTGAGAATGCGTGGAGCTATCTCCCTATCCTGTCTCTCTAAGATCCATTTTTAATATTATCCACCCATTTACGTCTTTGTCTTACTAGTGGTATCTTTTCTTTTGGCTTTCCCACCAATATCCTATATGCATTCCTCTTGTCCCCCATTCGTGCTACATGTCCTGCCCACCCCATCCTCCTTGACTTGATCATTCTAATTATACTTGGAGAAGAGTACAAGATATGAAGCTCCTCGTTATGCAGTTTTCTCCAGCCTCCTGTCACTTCATCTCTCTTCGGTCCAAATATTCTCCTCAGCACCCTGTTCTCAAACACCCTCAGTCTATGTTCCTCCCTTAATGTCAGAGACCAAGTTTCACATCCATACAGAACCACGGGAAAAATTATACTTTTGTATATTCTAATTTTTATGTTTCTGGACAGCAGACGAGAAGACAAAAGGTTCTGGACTGAATGGTAGCAAGCATTACCCGAGTTCAGTCGCCTTTTGATTTTGATTTGTCACTGTCGTTCCCAAAATCTTTGAACTGTGCGACATTTTCAAAGGATGTGATTTTTGTTTTCTGACTCACGGCCACACATGTGAGGAACTCCTTCCGCGACAGGGGCTTACAGTACGCCACATCTTCCCTCGCTCTTGCCAACCCGTCATGTTTACAGCGCTCTTCCTTTAGCCGCGCACCCTCCCCAGCACCTTGCTGGCATACCTGCTTTGGCGTAACCCTGAATGTTAGCGGCCTCCGTAGTCTAGAGGTAACGTTCCCACCTCATGACTTGTAGTACGCGGGTTCAAATACCCGGCGGAGGTCGTCGAATTTTTAAAGGCGGAAAAATTCAGGGAACAAGTCCTCCGGGAGGGTCTTCAAGCCGTGGGTCCCGTGTCGTAGCTTTACGGCACGTAAAGGACCTCATATCTTCAAAGGAGGTCACTGAGGCAAATTACGGACGTTTCCCGCCCAACAGCAGTCTCTATTACCTCTGGTAGATGGGGGAAGCATTATAGATACCTCTCAGCTAGTAGAGCCGGTCTCGCTGGCTGGGCGGGACTGATGGTAAGCACCAGTACCGGTAGGATATAGAGACTGGTAGAAATCATAGAGGGAAGCACAATGGACCAATACAGGTCTCAGTGCATGGGGAAACCCACCCTCTCCAATAACTAACTAACTAACTAACTAACTAACCCTGAATGTTTTCTTCTGGTTGCAGGAGAACGAGTTCTCTTCTCCCTCCGTGCTACCCTCCGCCACTGGTAAGTAGCATTGACGCATGTCCGTCTGTCGAGCTAGCAGCTGTTTGTGAGACGCGCTTTGTATATAACATCCTACCTACGTGCCTATTTAAACACAGTGGTTACTAATTGTTCCACCTGTTTTAAATTTAAAGTCTCATATTTCTACCCACAAGGTATGTTTGTTGTTTCGTATGATTTACAGGGTAAGCAATTATTAATTCTATAAATTAAACAGCAGATCTTTGTGATGGAGACTCGGTGTTATATGTGATCTGGAAACTGAATTCTAACTATTACTGCATGCATTTCAGGCTTCAAAGCACTAAGTACTGAACAAATTGAAGATTACTTGTCAAACTGGCATAGAATTGAAGTAGGTAAATATTTCAACAAATGATTCATTCACTGACTCACATTCTCAAATTTTCTCCTCGCCACTCACTCCCACATCCACTTTCCTACACACTCACCGCGGGTTCACTTACTGATATTCTCATTCACACACGCCAGTTCCCTTTTTACTTACCCACCGTCTTTGCCGGTCACTCTCCTTCTCATCCACTCACCCATTCCATCGCTCACCAATTTCCATCACTCATCCATTCACTTATATGCTCACCTTTTCCATCGCTCACCCATTCTATCGGTCACTCATTCACTTACATGCTCGCCCATTCCATTGCTCACCCATTCTTTTCCATACTCATCCATTCCAGCGCTCACCAATTTCCATCACTCATCCATTCGCTTATATGCTCACCTATTCCATCGCTCACCCATTCCATCGTCACTCATTCACTTACATGCTCACCCATTCCAGCGCTCACCCATTCTTTTCCATACTCATCCATTCCAGCGCTCACCAATTTCCATCACTCATCCATTCACTTACATGCTCACCCATTCCAGCGCTCAACCATTCTCTCACCTATTCAATTATCCCTTCTCTCACTCTTCCGTTTGCTTTTCTTTCGTTCACCACCTGTTTGCACTGTTGTCGTTATTGTGACGTAGTACAAAGTTCCGCTGTGAAGAGAAATAGCTTTCTGTTATCAAGGGATTCGATCCTGAGGCCGTGTTTTGCACGTCGCTAAACCGCGAAAGTGACCCTGATGTTCGTCTGGTTTCACCTGCTACCCGAACTGCGTCAGCATCACTTCCGGTGCACAGCGAGTTTCCGTGGCCCATCGCACTGAAAGTCTTCACTGCATCCACTCGGCGTGAAGGCCTCAGGTCTTTGTCTGTCCATATTCGTAATTACAGACGCACGCGCAGTCCATCCCTGTCGGTCACGTGTGACTGTGCGTATTAAAATTAATAAGATGCCATGGCACGGAATGGCCCCGTATTGTCACAGATAAAGCGACTCCGTGGCAGGCAAGCTCAAGGCTGGCAGTTACAGCTAACGTGAATCGCATGGAAGCAGCCCAGTGTCCAGCATGAACAGCATGGCGGGAGCATTAGCAGATGCTCGAGACGAGCATTCATTTAATTACTAATCCTTCTATGCTCAGCGACAGTTTGTTTCTAGCCTTTCAAAATTTACCGTGAGTTTTAACGTCGTCCTTGCATTGAGAGCGTACACGTAAACACAAATTGTGTAAACTGATTTGTATTCGTTTTAAAAATCGCAAGCTTCTTGCCCATTTTCGAACTTATTCCCAGTAACTGACGTGGTTCTTTTTGGAAAAAAGTATATTTGAAATTGTACTCTTTACAGGAAATCAGAAGGTTCACTTCCGGTTTCACAAAAGCTAGCAAGGGATCTCTACCCTGAGACAATTCATTATTTTTTCACAACGTAATAACTCATTCTTCTGAGATGCATTTTAATATTATCCTAGCATCTGTAATTTGTTCAAGTCGTCTCTGCATGTGAGGTTTACCGATGGATATTCTGTATGCATTAGATGTCTGCCCTATTCTTACTAGATATCTTACCAGTAGAAATTCTAACATTACATATATATTTCTCACCCCCCAGATGTGTGCTACATGTTCATCCCACCTCATCTGCCTGTGAAGGATAATATTTAGCGTGGGATACAAATTACCAAGTTCTCGTTGTGCAGTTTGCTCCACTCTCCTGTCACTTTCTGTCTTAATCTGAGAGTCTCCTCAAACATGTCCGAACTGCGCATAACTTCGCTTTTCGGAACTAAGCCACGTAGAATGGTCAGGGATTTTAACGCTCCATCATAATTCCTGTTGTCTTCAGGCTTAATTAAGATAACGCATATGATGTTTGCCGAAACGTCGGAAACGCATGAGGCTTATTTCCGAACGCCGAACCTATCCAACCACAGAAGCCATGGACAAGGGATGCAGATCGTGTGTTCACCCCATTGGTTTCTTCTTTTAAGCTTTCGTAGGGTGGGGGTGAGACTGGGTCCACTTGGTACGTCGGCCATTACTGGCCTACTGTACCAGCCCTGGAGTAGAGATGATAGTGATTGTGGAGCAGTCGGCGGAATGAGAATTGGCAGGGGAAGCAAAAGTACTCGGAGAAAACCTATCCCAGTGCCACTTGTCCACCACAAACCCCACATGGCCTGACCTGGGATCGAACGCGAATCGCCGCCGTGAAAAGCGGACTACTAAGCGGCTGAGTTATGGCACGGCCTTGTTGTTGTTGTTCCTATTATTATCATTGTGTCATGTTGTTTATGTTGTGGTTGTCGTACCCTTCAGTCCTGTGTTCTACCCTCAGGACGAGAGAAAACACCACACCCGCACGAAACAACAAATTGAACATGTTGCCCTAAGGGCATTCGGGAAACACTCGGTTGGAATTTCCGCTGGGATACAGACAGTGAGATTTTCGTTGTTTTCCTCAGTCACTTCAGGCGAGTGCAACGATATATATTGATGAGGCCGCCACCGCTTCCTTTCAAATCCTTTCCATTTCATCATACATCCTACCATAAGGCATGCAGTCTTCTGGGATGTGGCGTCGAGTAGATCTTGTGTCAGCCGAAGTTTCTGAGGAACGTATCGCCTCCATCTTCAGGATAGAAAAACCGCGAGCGAGAAACTAGCGGATTTTTCTATCCTGAAGATGGAAGCGATACGTTCCTCCGAAACGTCGGTTCACACAACATCTACACGGTACCACATCCCAGAAGACTGCAGTCTTCTTAGTCACCGCCGTGAAAACCTCAAATCTTACCTCCCACCATACTTCGCTCTGCAACTTAGATGCTGACAAGGTCATCATAAAATGCTCCATGATGAGCGGCAAAATCGTGGCTTCGACTGGTGCGATGTTTCAATGTTTAGGCAGTAGACGAAAACACAAAGAGATCTGATTTTGACAGTGGCAAAAGTTTCGCGCACTTAATTTGCCCCTAACTTTGTGAACATAACATGCTTAAATGCTAATTCACACTTTTGTCTGGGCAACTGACTGAGGAGTTACCCATAAGCCACGATGAGGGTATAAATAATATAATGCATTGAAGACTGAAACAGCAAACTTTTGCGGAACTTATTTTCCCCCAATTACGCGCGAAGCTCACAGACTCGGCTGAGACTAATGAATTGTATACCCGAGCCTCTGTAACTTAATAAGATGATCACAAGAACAGCAAAGTGTGGTAACTCGTCTGTGGTTTCTGTTTATGGCTTCCAGAGCTCCCAAAGCACAATTTTGAATAAAACATGGCATAAAGGAAGGTTGGAAAGTGATGAGGCTCTGTTATTGGGACTGGGAGTTTCTCTCTCTCTGTCTTCTGTGTGTATGTGTGTGTCTCTTGCCTCTTTCTATTGGCGGAAGTGATTACACCGCACATCAGAAACCCCAGGAAACAATGGCTCTACGAAAGACATCGCAAAACAGCTTCACAACCGACTAGCACAGTGTATATAGCTCTGTGTTCTGCTTCGTTGCAGCAATTTATTTGTTAATTGGCTTCCTATTCGTTCAACTACGTAACTCGGTATATACAGCAAACCCTCCTCCAACGCGGGTTCGATTACACGCGTCAAAATAAGTGAAAATAATTGAAATTTTCAATTATACACGGTCGGCTAAACATCATGCCACTACTGTTTTAACTCTTTCCATTTTAAGAAGATGGCTCACTCACAAACTCTGGTCTGGATGTATTTGATGTCATTAAAGAAATGTGTCCTGTCCTCTCTCGATAATAAAGCTAACTGTTTGTGTAAACATTGTGTTTTTTTTTAAATAAAACGATTTGGAGAATGGATTCTGTCTCCGTCTCCAGGTGGAGTCTTCTCAGTTGAGCCCAATAGATAGAACTAATCTCCATCTCCGGACACCTGCACCAAGCACAGCATATACCATCTGCGAGAGTTAAGACGAACACCACGTACAGGAAGTACAAGGAATCCGCCCACATGTCTCTGGTAGATCATCCAGTCAGTCAACCCAGCCTGGATATCTCTCCCATCTGAACTCCCATTATCGCAACAGAGGTCAGAATACTACAACTCCGACCAGTGTAGATTAGGTGTGAAAACTGTGTTTTTATGTTGGTACCATACAGGGAATTTGTCTCTTTATCGGCAACTTCTGTTGTGATGCTACACTGATTTTAACAACAATAGCCGTGAAACAGTGCATGGACATTGATGCTAAGCCTCATGTGTGTGAAGTTTTTTAATGATTGTCTTTACTGTCGCAGATGGGTTATGCTGTGCTTGGTTTAAATAACCTCTCCTGTGTTGGTGCTGCTTGTCCGGAGGTAGGGACTAACTTTATGGATTGGACCGAACTGCGCAGGTTCCACCTGATGACGAAATTCAGTCCCCGAAACTTCATATGTTTAAAAACAAGACGATGGATAATGTCCTGAAAAACAGTAATTTCATAAATATACTTTTGTCACAAATTTTAGATCTAACTATTAGTGGTTTTCTTCAATATAAATTGCATTCTACTTATTAACAGAAAGTAAAATAAAGGTAAAACTGTTCCTGTAACAGGCTGTGTAGGCACATAGGGTTGTAAGAAAAATTTGTTGCTTCTGCCGGGTTTCGAACCCGCAGCATGT